AGATAAATGATTACAATAATTGCAGTAATTACAATAGTATTGAAATAAAGCAGTAAAGGAAAACAGCTAAAGGAAAGAAAAGACATGAAGAGCCAAGTTAGTTTCGTAGCGAATAAAAGACAGTAAATAAAGCAATTAATGAGATAGTAAAGTCACAAGCAACATGCAATGGTAAAAGCCTAAAGAATCTCCCCAGCAGAGTCGCCATGCTGCCGACGCTCCCTTTTTCTCTAACCGTAGGGTCAGAAATCGGGTATACGACATTGGGAGGACAACTCTATTCCCTTTCGAGAATTGGGTTTAGAAGTTGAAGAGTCGCCACCTAATGATTATAGTGCATTTGGATACTTTAAGAAGGGTTTGAGATTAGGAGACCAGAGATTAGGGTAAGGGCTAGAAATTATCCCGAGGAGAAGGTGTTAGGTACCCCTCAAGATCCACTAGTGTTGTTCCGGCCATGTTACAATTGTGACTTTACAAGTAAACAATCAAGGCTCAAATAAGGATTCGCATATAATATTGCAATCAGGTTGAAAACTTTCGAAGGTAGGTAGAGAGGGCAGAAATTTTAAAAAAACGATTTGAATAGTTTTACAAGAAGAGATGAAAGCAAATAAAGGGAGGGAGGTCCTAAGTTTATAATTAATATGGATCACTTCAATGCAATACCCAGCAATCACTCCTCAGAAGAGGGGTCGCATGTGATATTAGCGCATTGATCATCATATCCATATCTACCCTTCCCAACCCGTTAAGGTGTTAAAGCACGAAATGGTATCGTTACTTATTGCATGCTATTACCCGTCCCAATCCTATCAGTCCCGGAGGCATAAGGGACTCCTAATCCTAAAGGGGAGGGAGTTGGGGCTTTTGTGGAGTTTTCAAAAGGATAAATATCTAAGCGACAAGCAATAACAGATAACAGTTAAAAGGGAAACAAATAGCAGTTAAGGCTCAAGTCAGCCTCCTCATTCAAAGCAACAGATTATCTAGCATGACTTATAAATACTGGTATGGTCTGTATTAAACTTAATGTAGGAAGGGTGGCTAATTTATCACATATTTTCAGATAAGAAGTCCGAATTAGGCCTGCCTACTGGTTGTAATTATCAAAACTGATGCAATTATAAAAATTTACCCTAAGGCTTGCCTAGGCGTTAAACAAAACCTATAGGCATAATATCTATTAGTTTCAGAAATAAAGAAGTAAACTGATTGCAGAAAAAGAATTGCCAATTACAGGGACATAAGATCTGCAAGCGTTAAACATTATTGCTACTGATTTTAGGCTTATAAGCAAATTGACGATTCATGTTTAGCTAACAGCTCCTATAGGCATGCTTTCTAGGTGTTACTGATTTGAGCATTGTTATTGCTTATGCAGCAATCCTATAGGCAGATTGTCTACATGCAATTGATTAGGTATTTAAATCCTATAATAGGTTTGCCTAATGACAGATGCAGAATGCAGAAAGTTCTATAGGCAAGGCATCTATATGAAGATGCAGAATTTTAGAATCGGCTTACAGGCATGGCATCTGTTATGGAATTGCAGAAAACCCTATATACATAGTATTTATATGAGAATGCAGAAAATCCTATAAACATGGTATCTATATGAGAATGCATAGTTTCAGTGATTTATAAAATGCAGAACTTTAGAAAAATGGTAATCCCTACGAACATGGTATCTACATGAGTGTGGAATTTCAGAAGTATAGTAATTCCCTATGAACATGGTATCTACCCCTTGCATGCATAGTCCCCTACCCTTTTCCACTAGCCGACCCCAAATGTTTATTACAAGATTATTACAGACCAGAATGAATAAGAAAAATATATCAGAAATTAAAGATTCCAACCAAGGAAAGCCTAATTCAGACCACAGGTCTGAAATATGAAATAAACCAACTTCCCAAGATCAGATTCCAAAGCCTTCTCTCATCCGGGGTGTTTCAGATATCCAAGGAGTTTCAGGAACTCCAGGCAGTGCTTACTCCCCAAATATATTGCAGAATTAGATTATAGTGCAGTGGGGAAATGCCAGCTCTCAGATGTCCAAGTTCAGAGGGAAATGAAGGTCTCAAAGCAGGGCTCAAAAGAGAGGGGCAGAACTTAAGATTCTAGGAATAGGTATAAGTGCACAAGGGGGAAGGGAATCAGAGAGAGACAGGGCAAGCTAGTGGTCATGCCCAGCAATTGGGATGCTGGACACCCCTGATGAACCTGCTAGTTAAGCATTGAGAGTTAGGATCCATTGTGGATCAAGCCAAGGCTTGGACAGTAATTAGGATACTGTTAGGCCAAGAGCTTAACTCATCACATATAAGGGAATAGGGGTAGAGGATTCATAACAGAAACAGAAGCAAAGAAAGGAGATATGAAGCACAAATTACAGCATATAAGCAATAAAGTAAACAAGAAGCTTGAAGCTGTGAAGTAAACACATAGGGGGTGAGGCAGAATATTTAAACAAAGGACATACCAGTTTCAGAAAAGTAAGCACAGAAAAGTAGGATTCTTTCAGGTAAAGCCACAATCAGAGAAGAACACTTTATGCTTGTGAGTTCAGAGAACTCGAGCTCTTATGAAAATTCTAAGTGTATTTGAGAGTGAGAAATGATCAGAATTGATCGTGTCAAATTGATTATCTAAAGTGCAGAAGGGCAACCCCCTCTTATAGTGTAGAGAAGAAAGCAAGAAAGGTAAGAAAACCTTTTAAAAATCAGTCTCAAATATTCTCCCTTCAGCCAAGGGATTTAATTTCAGACGGAAAAATATAAACAAGGAATGAAAATTTGAGTAAAATCTTTCATAGTAGCCTAAGAAGGGAAAATACATGAAGTATATTTAAGGAAAGGTCTCAGTAGTACTTGATTTGTAAAGAGAAAGGAAAGGGAATCAATCAGACAGTTAACAAAATCAATGTAAACAGGTTTGATTCGAATGAACCCAGTCAGGAATAGGGAGAGAATGGCTCAAAAAAAGGAAATTAAGGGCAATCAATCAAGACCTTATCAAAGGGGGTCCAAAATCAATCAAGCAATCGTCAAAAATCTTGAAAGAGGGGTTTCTCTCATATAAAGCAAACAATTCAAACAAAATAGTCTAGCATTGAAGGGTTTAGGATCACAAACAAAAGAATACGAGTTCAGTCATAGATTCATGGTGAGTTTGAAAGTTCAGGGTCCCAAAGTGGAACCCTAATCCAATTTATCAAAGAAACCCCCAAAATCTAGGGTTTCAAATTGAATCAAACACANGAAGGGTTTAGGATCACAAACAAAAGAATACGAGTTCAGTCATAGATTCATGGTGAGTTTGAAAGTTCAGGGTCCCAAAGTGGAACCCTAATCCAATTTATCAAAGAAACCCCCAAAATCTAGGGTTTCAAATTGAATCAAAACAGAAACGAGAAGGCAAGTGAACTGACTCAAGGAGTCTCATGAGGAGCAAACAGACCACGATAGCAGGTTTGAAACAATCAGAGAAAGAAAATCAATTTGAGAGCATAAAAGGACACATTTTGGAAACCCGGAGCTCAGAAAAGTGCAGAATAGACGAAACATGCTTAACAAGAACACAAACAGAGTTCAGAAAAGCAAAAGTCAAGAAGCTCGGTAGTAAACACACATGGTAGAAAAGTGAGGAAAATTAAACACGGATTAATCATGTGAGCACACATATAAAAGAAAAAAAAGGACAATACATGCGTAATAGAGAAGGAAAACATACGAGCCTAATACAGACGAACATCTAGAAGAAAAGAACAACAAGAATCAAAAGACCTTCAGAAACCCTAATTTGAAATCGAACGGTTTTTGAGAAGGAAATTTGGGGAAAACACTCAAATCGTCAAGAAAAGCACAGACATAGCACAAATCTAAACAAATACCGGTGAAAGAACCTCGAATGGCTTAGGGTTTCAGAGAAACCCTAGAAGTGAGAAAGGCTTGGAAGAACAAGATCAGATCTTGAGTCGAAACGGTCAGGAATAGAGCTTCCAACGCTTGAATATGCTGGAGCATGACCGAAAAACCATAGATCTATGGATCTGAGAGAGGACCATCGAGGTCAAGCCTCCAGACTTCGTGCAACTCAGGCTTGGGCGTGAGAGAGGGTGAGTAAAGGCCATCTATGGCAGGAGATGCCATGGATTCCGGTGGAAACGAGGTGAGATAAGGTGGGAGGTGATTAGGGTTTCAGAGAGGTTCGAGAGGATTTGAGGGAGACGAAGAGAGTTAGAGGCGGCGTCTCTATGCAAATGAAGTGGGGTTAGGGTTGTTAGGTGATTAAAAAAGGAAAGCCTAAACTAAAGTCGTTGATCAAAACGATCAACGGCTAGGATTTAAAGAAAATCGAACGGGTTTAAAAAATTGGGATAAGGGGTCGGGTCGAAATGGGAATTGGGTCGTTTAATTTGGGGCGGAATTGGGCCAATTGAGGCTGCAATTGAAAGGGAGAAAAGGTTGTTATTGAAATAGAAATAGGCTAAGTGTTAAATAGCCAATGTTCCCCTTTTTATTTTATAAAAATAGTAATAATGATTTAAAAAGTAAATTAAAAATACTGAGCAAACAAATACTATATAAATATCAATTTAAAAATATTGGAACCAGTTTTATAATTTTAAAAATGCTATTAATCATAAAATAGGCCATAATTGCAATTATATGCAATTAGCTTAAAAATGACAAATAAATTTGTAAAAAATATGCAAAAATCACCTTAATTATATTTTGGTGTAAATACGGGAATGAAATAAGTTATTCACTAAAAAATGATAATTTTGAGAATAATTATTGGATTTTGTGGTATTAAAATAGGTAGTAAATTGGTTTAAAAATCATTAAAAAATACTAAAACTCTTGGGTGTGCTTATATATGCACATACATGCTATTTTGGAAGTATTTTGGGTACAAAAATACCTAGGGAAAAATTGGGTATCAATAGATGGTCAGAATCAGATCAATCTCTCCAATCGTGTCCCTTTTTGTACCATCGAAAGCCCGTACACAGACATTATTGGGCCGAATTCTTTCAGTCCCAATTTTCATGCGCTGTAGAGTCGAGAGTGGGCAGATGTCTACCCTAGAGCCTCCGTCCAACATAACCCTTTTCACATAGTACCCTTCGCATTTGACTGTCAGGTGCAGGGCTTTGTTATGCGCGGCCCCTTCTGGAGGCAAGTCATTTTTGCTGAAGGAAATCTGGTTAGTTGAGAAAAAACTTTCTGTCATCCTCTCCAACTTTTCTATAGAAGTTTCAATAGGAACATATGCTTCGTTAAAGGTCTTGATCAATACATTCTGATGTTTGGGGGAGTTCATCAGCAAAGCCAACAAGGAGACTTGTTCAGGAAATTTTCGAAGCTGGTCGATCACCTCATAATCTGCCATTTTCATCTTTTGAAAGAAAGTATCCGCTTCTTCGGCGCTCACGGGCTTCTTAGATGGGAAGCGTTTTTGATTGGCATTGTTCACCTCTTCCAAGTTAGAATACTTTTCAACGGGGTTATTTTCTTGGACTTCTCCTGAGATTTCTTTGGCCTTATAGGTCACCACCATTTTGTTGTAATTCCAGGGCACAGCGGTAGGATCCGTCATGGGCTTTTGCGGTGCGCGGCCAATAACCACGGGCTCACTCAGCCTTGGAGGATTAATTGGCCCCCGCATCACATAAGCTCCCTTGGGCACATACATTTGGGTTGCCTTGTTTAGCTCGAATCTTCTAGGAGGACTCAAAGTCATCTGTTTTTCTTTGCGGCCCTGAGGGACAGAGAGAACAACATCTTTGGAAGGTGTTAACCCAATTCCCACTTCGACTTTCTTTTCTGATTTTGGAGGGGTGATTTTGCTCTTTTCCTCCCCTTTGTCTTGCTTCGGGGCAGCTTTTGGTTTCTTTTCTGGGTCAGCAATGGCAATGATGGCATTCAATGCTGGGTTAAATTCTTTATCCTCACAAATCATCCCAATTACCGGTCCGTTGTTGTGGGCTGGCAGTGGGTTATTAGTCACATTGGGGACATCCTCATCCCTTAGCACTATCTTTCTTTGTTCTATCAAATTCTCCACTGCTCTCTTCAAAGTCCAACAATCATCAGTGTCGTGCCCTTCTGCCCCTGAGTGATAGGCGCATCGGGCACCAGCTCTGTAAGCGGGAGATGTTGGGTTTTGCCTAGTTTGAGGAACCGGCTGTAGCAGACCCATTTGGACAAGCTTTGGGAAAAGGCCGGAGTAGGACTCGCCGATTGGTGTAAAATTTGGCCTTTTAGGTGGTTCACGAGGGGGAAAATTGTTTTGCGAAGGACGGGGGTTGTAGTGGTTGTGGTAAGGAGGTTGATTTCTAGGAAATAGGGCTTGGTTACGGTGGGCTTGTTGTTGTGGGCGGACATAAGATTGAGCATTCATGACCGTGTATGGATGAGGAGCATATGCCATGTCTTGGTGGGGGTAATAGTGTTGCGGGATCCTTTCTGGGAAAAGGGATTTGGGAGTACGGTATTTTCATGCGCCCGACGCTGCCATGGACATTTCTTCCTTCTTCTTGCCTTTTGCTATTCCTCCAGACCCACCCTGAATGGCTTGGGAAGTAGCTCTGATAGCGGATTGGCTTAGAATTCGACCCATTTTCAACTATTTCGCCAATATTAATGGCTTCAGCAAACGGTTTACCCATAGCAGACATCATATTTTGGAAGTAGTCGGCTTCCTGAGCTTGTAAAAAAACTGTGACCATTTAGACCTCATCCATCGGAGGTTTTACCCTAGATGCTTGCTCTCGCCATTTAACCGCATACTCCCGGAAGCTTTCCGAGGACTTCTTTCTTAAGTTCGTCAACGAGTTCCTATCTGGAGCAATATCAATGTTGTACTGGAACTGCCTAACGAAATCTCTAGCAAGATCATCCCAGATGTGCCAACGGGATATATCCTGGTCCATGTACCACTCAGAAGCGATGCCAACCAGACTTTCTCCGAAATACGCCATGAGTAGTTCTTCCTTTCTACCGGTCCCTCACAATTGATTGCAATATTTTTTGAGATGAGCAATAGGATCACCGTGCCCATCGTACTTCTCAAATTTCGGGGTTTTGAATCCCAATGACAGATGCACATGAGGGAACATGCATAAGTTAGTATAGGATACACTTTTCTGTCCACTCAAGCCTTGTATGCTTTTGAGACTTTGTTCCATACTCGTCATCTTCCTCACAATCTCTTCTTGCTCGGGTGTTTTGATAGTCTTTTCTTGCCCCACAGTGAACTCATATCGGGGTGGTTGAGAGTAAGTATAGGTGGGAAACTGTGCAGGTTCTAGTGGGAAAGATGGTGTTTAGAAGGTGAAGATTGATGGGTCAAAGCTGGGTCTGGGCAGCGAAGGCTATGTAGTAGCTGAGCATGGGGGAGCAGTGAAAATATTTGGAGCCGCTCCTGAAGCTAACACCTGGGGGCGAACCTCAGAAGGTGTTCCAACAAAGTGGGCCGAGATGGTAGGATGTCCGAGTGGGGTATTGGGGTGACTGATCGGGATATTGGAGGTTCCACCTACCCTAGGGAAAAGCTCGGGAAATCCGGGGATTACACTTGGTGGCTCTCTTCCATTTGACCAGGCATCCCACATTTCCATCATGCGAAGACGCAGTAACCTGTTTTCCTCGGCGGCTGCCGACTCCGAAGTCGGGATGCCCGAGGTCGGACTCTCTTCCATGATAGGAACTGTTGGAAGAGTGATTTCTGAAGACATTTCAACGCTACCTTTCGACCTCGTGAAATATGGATGTGAAGTCAGACTACCACAAAACCAACCACCTTACTATAGAACTTGAACTTGGGATAACAACAACAAACGGTTAGTTTGAAACAAATAACAGATAGGTAATCGCATGTTGGGGTGTGATGCATCTATACAGTTAAATGTGTTTCTACATGTTTTGCAACGGTCGCATGCTTCATCCCGACTTTACTTATTCTCATTATTATTATTTTTTTTCTATTTTTCCTTCTTTCCAATTCCACTCTCTCTTTTCATCTCTTTCTTTGCCCTTTTTTTTCTTTTCCTTCTTTTCTCTCTTTTGGGTTTTTCTTTAGGATCTTTCCTCTTTTATTTAAATTGTTTACAAAAATCATGACCGGATCCGATAAGGATTGCCTACGTATCACGACACCGCGTGAATCAGATCATAACGTAGTTCAAGAAGTAAATGCGAAAAAGAAAAGAACAATTTTTGTGGGTTTTTTTTCTTTTTTTTTTCAAATTTTCATTAACACAACTTTACTGAATTACGAAAGACTCAAAAAATACCTTTTCTAGGACTTTAAGACTCTGGATATGCCTTTTCTAGGAATTGAAAATAGACTCGAAATATGAAAAATACAGACTCGGAAAAGGAAGAAAATACAATCAAGAAAACATCAGTGCCTCCAACCCTGCCCTAGGAACACCAACCGGTCTTGCAGCGGGCCTACTTGCCATGTCATCTTGGAGCCGATAGAGTTCTTCCATTATCTGACGGACGAAGATCATTACAGTGGCGAAAAACATGGATCTTGTCATGTCCTCAGACGCACTGCATTTCATGGTGATGTAGTCAGCAATCCTTCAAACCCTCTCTCTTATGATGCCCTTCTCTTGCAACAAACGGCCAATCTGACGGGATCTAGCCTCGAAGACTTGGGTGGCAGCGTGATTTTGCTCTTGCAAGTGCTGTAATTCCTCTTCCAACCGTGCCATTAAGGCGTAACAATGTTCTCTCTCGGCCTTAAAATTTTTGGCTTGTTTAGCCATTTCTACTTCGAGGTTGCCAATTGCCTTTTCCCAACCTGTGACCCCTCTTTCATATCTTTCTTTCATCTGTTGAACGAAAACTGCACGCCCTTCGGCATTTTTAGCCAACCTCGTTTGTGCTTTTGCTAGTTCAGACTCAACTTTCTGCAAGTCATCTTCATAGTCACGCACCTTTTGAGTAAGGTTATAAATGAGCCTTTCATCTTTCCTTCTTCGGCCCGGATTCTTGGCTGCTATTTTCAGCTGTCGAACCTGGGCCCTGAGAGCTTCATTTTCTCGAACCAATCTTCTCCTCTTACCCTCGGCCTCTTGTGCTTGTAAATCATTGTTGAAGGTGACATTTCTCAACTCTTCTCGTAGATCATGGATGGTGGCCTGATATTCCTTTTCCTTTTATCCCCAAGCTAACCTTTCCTGAATTTTGTCATCAAAAGCTTGAACATGGGGCCTTTTGGCGGGCCTCACAGGTTCGGGCTTGGGCTCCGGCTCATTGTACACATAAAAACTCCTTTCAAACCAAGCCGCATAATTGAGTTCAGCTTCGCCCTTAGCTGGGTATGGCACTTGGGTGTTACTTTTTGGATACCGACAACAATTCCAGTCTCTTTGAACTAAGGCCTCGGGTATCGTTGCTTCTGAGTGTAGTTCAATAACTTGAGTGCTTAGGTCTGCCTCTTCGGGTATCACTTGATATCTTCCCAGTTGTCTCAGAACTTTTTGTGGTGCATATGATTGTATACTTCTCACTCCCATTATCATCAAGTAGCCCTTTGAAGAGGTCATGTAGATTATTTCTGTTACTGGGAGCCATCCTATGGTCCATTCAATTTGATCTGCTCTCAATTTCCTCAAATAGGAAACCCATGCTTCAAACCCTACCGATGGTTTGTGATTTTCCACCCTTTCCTCATACTTTTTGATGAAATTATTCTCATTTGAAGCATATCTCATGAACTTAGGATGGCGGCGAAGGTGCTCGATCATCCACATCTGAAGAAGAATATCGCAGCCTTCGAAAAATTGACCCCTAGATTTGCACAATGTTAATGCCCGGTAAATGTCCGCCAGCACTAATGGGACAAGTGTGTGATCTTTTTTGTCGACGAGGACATGTGCAATTCTGGCCATATGAAGGCCTATTGTACCTCAGAATTCGGAAATACCATGATTCCCAGAAATGCCACGATGAAAGCAAACCGTCGATGAATTTGCCATATGCTCTTGTTTTTTTTGTTATTCAACCCCTTCTCATGTGTTTCAAACCCGGCCGAGTGTCCAAACCTGAAATACAGAAAGTAGAACAAACAACTCCCTTTACTTACATGGTCCTTGCTCATTTGTATGCTAATTTTCAAAAGATCGAAGAATTTGTGTACTGAGGGAGCCCTGGGGAATATTAGTTGTTGTTTTCTTAACTCTTGGCCGAAATCGATGTACCCGGCTATTTCTTCCAGAGTGGGTGTTAGTTCGAAATCTGAGAAACAGAACACATTGTGAACGGGATCCCAAAAGGTCACCAAAGCCTTAATTAAATCCTCTTGTGGTTTGACGTGCATGATGTCTACCAGGGAACCCAAATGCTCTTTTACCCAAAGTTGGTCATCTTCATCTAAATCACCTCACCACTTACGTAGCTGCATCCGAGCCCTTTCTATGATAGATTGCGATGATTCCTGGATGGCATTCATTTGTACCTGTGGAGGGTTAAGGTTAGGGTTGACTCTTGTGGACTCATTTTGCAAAACAACTTTTTTTTTTAAAAAAAAAAAATCAACGGACAAGGACCCCTTTTATTGCTATGTTAGCAAAATGGTCGTTTTTACAAACGTGGCACCCTTCACAATTCCAAATGAATTTTGAGGTCGGGGGGTAGGTATTTTATTGGAAAAGACACCTTTTGCATGTTCCTCTCGAAAATAGCCTTTCGACAATTGGAATGTAATCTAAAGCTATTCCGGGGAGAAATGACTTAAATACAACCGAAGCTGGGTCGGCATATTGTTTTGACCAAAGCCCTGAAACATCTTTTTATTTTATTATTTGCTAAAAATGAGGCCGATCCTTATGTGGGTTGCCTACGTATCCCACATCCGGTGAGAATCAGACCTGCGTAGTTCAGGCAGTTTTGATACAAAAACATGATATTTGACTCACTCTTTTGAAATATACTTTCACTTTTTTTTCTTTTTTTTAAAACAATTCGGCAGAGTTTCGGGATATTTTCAAATACTGGGATTTTAGAAACCGGGTAAATTTTCTTTCCTACCTCACTCTTGGTTTTTCTTTTTATTTCCTTTCTTAGCCGGTCAACATACAAGCCGCAACAGATAAATGTTCACATAGCACGTAGGATGCATCAGGATGGTCTTTATTTTGGGTACACCTGTCTTAGACGGACCCAACTCCTGTATTGAGTCCCCAAGGTCAAATGCACCTGATGAAAATAATCGTTCCTACTAGGGATCCGGCATGAGGTTGCGTTATTCTAGGTTTAAAAACCTGGTTTGTGGTCTAGACTTGGGTTACCCGAGCGGACAACTAGACTCGAGGAGGGGAAAACGTACCGGGGGCACGAAAGTCTGTCCGGCCTTGTTGCTTGCCCAGCCCCATCTTATTTGGCATAATTTCTACAGAAAAAGCGGGCCACGCGAAT